TCTCAGAACCTCATTCCTTCATCTCTGCAATGAGTAAGGATCTAGGATTTCCAGGTCAAATCCCATAACTGTAACCAGGAAGGGATGCCTGTGTCATCCTGTCCCTCCCAGAGGCAGACACCGTCCCCATAGCCTCCTGGGCAGGGCACAGCCTTCCCTCTCCTATGTCCCTCCCTCAGCATATTTCTCTCACATGGGAACATTGGTGGAAAGTTCCAGGACATACTGCCATCCACCATGATCAATGGTTTGATCAATTACCAATCAAACCAAACCCAAGGAGCACCTGTCATGGGCGTAGGATGGCGTTGGGTCCTGTGGGAGAGAAGTACAACCAACTTGGCATGTGAAGGAAATTTCCCTGACCTGAAATGACCTTAGGAACTTGAGAAGTATTTGATCTTCACAACAAACCCACAACTTCTCTCAGCAACAAAAGAGGATGAACACACGTTCAGACAAAGTAGGATGTCTGAATTCCCTTAGTCTGCAAGTCAGGCAAGCAGTTGTTGCCACACAAATAAAGGGGACCCGCCAGGCTTTGCACTGAGCCAGAGGAGGGCTGGGAGGGGACCTGGCAGGCCTGAGGACAGGAACAGTCACTCCCCGTTGCCCCCTCCCCCAGGCCCTGGCAACCACCATTGTACTTTCTGTCCCTATGAATTTGCCTATTCTAGGTTCCTCCTATAAATGGAATCATACAATGTTTGTCCTTTTGTGTCTGGCTTATTTTACTTAGTGTAATGTCTTTGAGGTTCTTCCATGTTATAGCATGTACCAGAACTTTATTGCTTTTTATGATCGATAATACTCACTTGATGGACATACTTCATTTTATTTATCCATCCATCAGTTGATGGACGTGTGGGTTGTTTCTGCCTTTTGGCTGTTGTGAATAATTCTGCTATGAACATTCATGAACAAGTTTGGGTGTGGACATGTTTTCATTTCTCTTGGGTAGATCCATAGCAGTGGAATTTCTAGGTTAGCTCTGTTTAACATTTTGAGGAACTGCCGGACCGTTCCACAGGGGCTGCACCATTTTACATTCCCAACAACAACGTACGAGGTTCTGATTTCTCCACATCTTGCCGATCCTGTCATCTTTCGCAGCCTTCAAACTGATCTGGCTACCTCTAATTATTTTTTTCCCATTATATTTCTAAAACATAGGTGAAACATTTCATTCTCCTAAAGCCCACAGCAGCTCCCTGTTGCCTGCAGGTAGAGTTTAGGGCTCAGGGGCTCCGTGATTGGGCCTCAACTACCTTTTCATCCTCCAAGCACATTACTACTGCGAGGCCTTGTCTCCTAGTTTCCCCACCACACCACGCTCTCCCTGCCTCTTTGTTTCACTGCTGGCTTCTGCTGCAGTGCGTTTCATTCCTCAAGGCTTGATGCAAGGGCTTGCTCCTTCGCCTTCCGTAATCCCTTTGAATGAATTGTTCTCTGCCCTTAGATA